TGGACTGTTGGATTCATTTTCATTTTTAACAAAGTGTATAAAAGTATATTAAATTTCTTACATAAAAGATATCCAAAATATAATTAAAATAATAATTTCATTAATTTTCTACAATAAATTAATCATAAATTTCATTTATAACATTTTATGTGCATGTACTAAAATAAAGTACTAGATTTATTGTACTGTATGTCTTTATATATTATTTCCCTTTAATTTCTCCTGTAATATTATTTCTGAAAATTAAAATTTCTAATAATCAAAATTTCAGACATATGTTAAATTATAAGTTTTCTCTAAAATTAATAAATATATATTATAATTATAAATATATATTTCTTTGTAGTACATTCAAAATCAAATAGTGAAAGAAAAGGTGATGTGTAAACTTTTGTGCAAATAATTATTTTCCATATCTAATAATAAAAATTAAATAAATCACAAGTGAACACATTATTAAAACAATAACAAAAATCACATGATTACACAACTTTTCACCTTTTCTATATCTTTAATTTCATTCCTAATTTAAATTATTTATTGTACAAAAACATATATAGATATGTTCATTTGATTAAATTAATTATAAACAGTTTTAATAATAAATGGTGACAATTTAAAATCAAAAATATTTTCACTATTTACACAATCAACATAGGCAAATTTTCACGCATTAAACTTACCTAAGCTGATTAAATTATATTTTTTAAGTACAAGGCATTTGTGTACAAAATTTTATCACCTATAATTTACATAGGCAAAATAATAAAGGAATAAATGCCCCAAGAGCTACAAAGACTGGTAACATTACTGAAGAATCATCAATTGAATAAGGATCTGGAGTTCTAGGACCACTTGTATGTCGACTACGAACTGTAGATTCTTCCTCATCTTCTTGTATATTATGATATTCTTCTGGTTCTTGAGGAATTGGGCCCAATTGTGGTATATCTAAAAAAATATTAAAAAATAACTGTTACATTTATTTTAAAAGTTTACAAATATTAATAAATTCAACAAAACCTTCTATATTTCCTTTCACTACTGCAATAGCATTTATCTTTGGATTGTCTCTATAACCCTACAATTAATTAATTAAAATTAATATTTCAGTTAAATTGTATAAAATGAATCAAATATTATGAATTATATCAAATATTATCAGTATACTACTTTTATAAATTCAACTCTAATTTTTCCAGCTAATATGTCAGATTCTTCATCATTATATATTAATTTTCCAGCTTGAACTTTAAATGATATATATTCATCATGTGCTATACCACGTCCAACTCTCTCAAAGATATCTAAATCAGTAACAACAGTATGATCTCCATTTAATACAACATCAAATACCTAAAGAATATAATCATTTAATCATCATATTCAACAAACATTATAATTATAAAGATAAAGTTTTTATTAAATATTACCTTCATATTAGGAGAATTAAAATAAACTTCACAAAATTTTAATATCATAACATAATCTCCATCTTCATTTATTGGAATATCATATCCAAATGTGCTATGATGATAACGTTCAGTTTGATACAAAATTTGGTCAATAGTATTTACTCGACCAATAATTAACTGCTTGCCATAGTCAGATGCAGTTCCAACTTTATTCATTAAAGGATCTCTAGTATAACGAATTCCATAACTGTCAGTATGTGTATCTCCACCAGCATTTATTGCATATATTACTTCTAAACTTTGCAAACTTTGTACACAAACAATAAACAATAACATTGATATTGTCAAAAAGTATATTTCCCATCTCGCAGTCATACTTTTTATTATATATTAATATTCAACTGTTTCGATATAACAATATAATCATAACTTACTGCAATTTTTTGTAACCGGCAAAGGAGGTTATATTTAAAGTAGAAAGATATTCAAAGTTAATAACATATTGATGTTACATATAAAGAAATTTCAAATTCATTCAATTAAATTAAATTCTATATAAAATAATATCCAAATATTATACCCTATCTGTTTTGTTAATAAATGTCATAGTCTTGAATCACGAATTATGTATTATCAAACAGTCACGTTAGTATTACGTAGCCGGTATACATGTAAAACTGCCTTTAATGATAAATTTATTAATAAAATTCGATATTTCATTTTTATTTATATATATTTAATAAAAAAAACATATATATATAACAAATATTAAATTATAATAATTTATAACAAAATAATTAATATAACAAAATTTAATTTACATTTAGTAAAATAAAATTAAATATATTATACACATTTATTATCTTATATTCTTATAACATTTTTATTATTTATTTAATTTCTAATCAAATATATATTTAAATTTTATTTAAATTAAAATTTAAATTTTTTTTAAGTTAATATTAAATAGTAAATAGTTTTAATTATATATATATCATATACATATAATTATATACATATATGTATGTACATAACAAAATATAAATAATTTTCTTATATTGAAGTAAAAAATTTTTATTAAATGCAATTTTTTAATTTCTTAAATCACATCATTTTTTTTAGACTCTAATTTTTTTTAATTTGTATCCATTTACTGAAATTATTTATTTCATATTTTCATATTTCAATATTTTATTGTGATATACAAAAGAATTTTAAATATATCGTCCTATGCAATATGTTTTTTAATATTTTTAAGTAAAAGATAAAATTTTTAATTTTAAAATTTTTTTTCTATCAATATATTTAATATTTAATAAATATCAATAAAATTTATTGGTTATTATATCCATATAAATACATATATAAAAATCCTCCTGATATCGTTCAAATCCTGATATTGTTCAGAAAACCGTTACTGTTTATAAGAAGGAGCTTTTTTTTTGGAAATAAATCTTATAGTGGTTATAATATAAATTAGAAATTTTTGGAAATATCAATCATGAGATAAATAATAAAAATGAAAAAAAATTCATTTTTTTACAATATACTGATATATATTATATTATATTTGATAACTTCATTATGAATTTTAAAAACAAAATAAGATAAATTTTTATAAATCAAATGTTTTTTAAAAATCTTAGTTAATATAATATAATAGTAAATAATATCTTATTAATATGATGACATACGATAACTGCATATTTTACTAACTTTGTCAATATATCAATATTAATTTTATTTATTATAATTTAACAATTATTTTAGAAAATAAAAAAATATAAAATAATATAACAAAGAAAATGAGATTTGATTAATAAAAAATAAAATTATATTTTAGATAAAAATCAAATTCATCATATAAACATTCAAACGTTCAAAAAATCATTCAAATATATATATTTTTTCGATATAAAATATACAACAAAACTATATTATTTCAAAATTGCCTTTAATAAATAATAAAGTACACGCAGAAATGTCTTGAACACACTCGCGTAGTATTAACAGCGTATTGAACGGATATGGCATAAAGCAAGAATATACTGGAAGTTTCTACGGAACACTGCTGCAATGCTTATGATCATCGATTTTATACTATGCTTTGTCGCATAGATTGTACCCGCCAAAAGAAATTTTAATAATATTCAATGAATTTATACAATATCTTGACAAATTAGAACTCATAAATATTATTTTTATCACAATATTGTGATTAAATACATTTCAATAATTGATATCGATAAATAAATTTTTATATATAATCTTTTTACATAATTTTATATTTTTATTATTAAATGAAATTAAATTTCTTATAAGAAAATCAAATACTTATATTATATTATATTATAAAATATTTTATAATATAATTTTCTTAATATATATTTTCTATAAAATAAAATTTTATATATTAATTTTTTGATGTTTTTTATAAATAAATTAAAGTATATAGTAAAAACAATTTTTTTTACATTTATTTTATTGTTTTTATTTTTTAAACTTTTTTAATATATAATTTTTAATTAATTTTCGTATTAAAGTGTTATATATACATATATACATATATGTACACATCTTTTAAGTCATGTATACATGCGTCACAATTGACGCAAAATGTACATGTCATGTTCTTTATATATACGTAATATAGATTTCAAAAAAATTTATAAATTTTATTGCATGGTAAAAGATAGAAAATTTTATATAAATAAATTTTTTCTGTTTTTAATTCTATGCTATTTTAAATAAAATTCGATAATAAATTTCTATTTATAAAAATAATATTTATAAATACTATTAAATAATAAAAATTTCGATTTATTTCGATTTAAATATTTACATATGTATTTAAAAATTATTAAAATATCTCTACATATTTTTTCTTTTTTATGAATCATATAAAATTTTTATTGGATATTTTATTATTATATCTGTGATATATTGTTATGATTCATTGATATTACCTTTATATCAAGCATTATTTTATGTATTTACTATTAAATCTACTGTTATAAAAAAAAAATGTCGATTTTTTAATAATATTATGTAAAATAATAATTATTTTAAAAAAAAAATTAAATTTTAAATAAAATTATTTTACTTATATTAAGAATTACATCATTAAAAATTGAACACGTGTATTATAAAGGTTATAGATATTACAGGAATTATGAGACCTTGAAAACGTGCGATTCATAGCCAAGCATAGATATAAATTTTATATATGCATACATGTGTATGTGTAACTACTACACACCTTCTAGAATTAAGTAATAACTAGATTTTTTTTAACGTTCCTTATGATCCATTTCTGTATTATTTATTGTTCTAGCCAAAAATTACATAAAAAATTATTTTATTTGAATATCAGTAATATAAAAAATAATTTCAAAAGTTTAAAATAATTTTTATCAAAGAATGAGATTTTTAAATATTTCTATATATGAAATCTTTGGATCGATCGATAACCAAATAAAATACCACTATTGATACACGTAGTTCATGGCGTGTATCCAGTAATCATTGAAGTCTAACAGAAATTAATTTCTGATTGGTTGATAGAATGTACTAGAGTAGGAAGAACATTCCAGAAGCGTCCTCTGGGAAGGTAATATATACAGAGCGCCGGATGCGGGCTCTTCACTCACGTTGCGAATCGTCAATCGAAGAACTTCTTCTCTGTCCTACGAAGAGATTTTTACAAAGCGAATTTTTACCAAGCGAACAAAGAAGAAAGGTGTGTTCCCATTATCTTTGTTTGACATCTGTAATATTTGATACAACATTCATATTAGAAATAATCTCGAATTTTTTTTTTTTTACAAATTAAATTTTCATTTCATATTTTTACAGAAAAGCAAAGATGGCTAAAGCACCTGCAGTTGGTATTGATCTTGGCACTACTTATTCTTGTGTTGGCGTATTCCAGCATGGAAAAGTAGAAATCATCGCTAATGATCAAGGAAATCGTACAACACCTAGCTATGTTGCATTTACGGAAACTGAACGATTAATCGGCGATGCTGCCAAAAATCAAGTTGCCATGAACCCCAACAACACCATTTTCGGTAAGTATGTTATTCTCAAAGTATTTTTTTATTTATATTGAATTATCATATTTTCTATGAATTTACTCGATCTTTTATTAGTAAATTAAAAATTTATCAAATCCTTTTATATTCTTTATTAGTTTATTTCTAATTATAATTAGAAATTAAATTATTTAAACTTTTTTTATTGATATATTTATAGTTTTATTGATATATTTATTAAATTTTTATTATTCAATAAAATTTAAAAAATTTTTTATAAAATTTTAAATTTAAAGTAATTACAAAAATAAATTTGTTATAAATTTGTTTTGAAATCTTAGATTAATGATTACTATGATCATTACTACTATTACTGTGATATAATAATTTATAATAAAAGTTTTATAAAGTTAACATGAAAATTTGTATTATAGATGTAAATTCTTAAAATATAGTTGCTTGATTTCTTTAATTTTATAATGATAATTTAATAAAGTTTGTAGTAACTATTGTTTTTGAATTAAAGCATTATTAATGTTCAGTTTCTAAAAACAATTTCTAAATTATTTTGATTGATTTTTTCATGTATTTTAATATTTCATTTTTTATGAATTAATATTTTAACAAAATTTTTCAAAACGAAATTATAATTTTGTAAATAGCAGTGAAAATTTTCTGAATACCTAGATGATGTCAATATGTATACTAGAAATATCTTGTAGTAGTATCTGTTATACGTTGTTGATATGACCTGTGAATGAGGGCGATAAGCCATTTGCCTCACTAAATGTTGATATATATTATTAATAGTAATTAATAATGAATTCAGCTAATTATAAGTTATAAGAATATGTGTGATTTGATTATATATTTGTGTAGATTGACTTATTTCATTAGATCTTATATTTTTTCCTGATGTCAATTTATCAACAATGTATAGTGTACGCAAGCGCAGTTATAAAAAATTCTACCATAATATCTAAAGGACGCCATATTAAGTATATCCTCCGGTTATCGTAAACTTTATTTTAAAAAGACTCTCCTTTATTAGAAAAAATATTCAAAAATATGTACTATATTGATTTCAATAACATATTTCAAAATATACATAATATATCTATAAAAGATTTTCTTTTATTTCATAAAAATTATAAATAATGCTTAATATAAAAAATGACATAAATAAATATTAAATATCCTAAATTTATTAAAAGATTAAATTTAAAAAAATTAAAATAAGTGAAAAGTAAATGTTTCACTTCATGAAAAAAATAATATGATATACATTTTTCGATAATTTTTCTTTTTTTTTTTTGTAAATATTTTTCATTTAGAAAATAATGATTAACTATATAAAATATATTATAATGTTTTAATATAATGGATTAATTTAATATACAAAAAATGATTTAAAAAAAACTGAATTTTTTTTTATTCTATAAATATAAATCTATTGCAATCGACGAAAACAGAAAATTAATATTGTTACATATTTTCTTACGAAAATTATTTAATTTAATATCATGTCATATTTATAGATCGGAAAATCGATTTATATCGATCGTTTACGTTTGTATATTGCAAATTATATGATTAAAATATGTAGGTGAACATTTTATCAATAAGAATATATTACCTCGTTTCTCAAATTTTTATAAATTTGAATAATATTTCACATAAAATTACGAATCAAAAATATCTTAAATATATTATATAATTTAATTAAAAGTTTAGCGATAAATTTATTTCATTGTATTTGTTTTTAGATGCCAAACGCCTTATTGGTCGTCGTTTTGAAGATCCCACTGTTCAGGCTGATATGAAGCATTGGCCCTTTACCGTTGTAAATGATGGTGGCAAGCCTAAGATTCAAGTATATTACAAAGGAGAGGCGAAGACTTTCTTCCCCGAAGAAGTGAGTTCAATGGTCCTGGTAAAGATGAAGGAAACAGCTGAAGCATATCTGGGAAAAACTGTCAGTAATGCCGTGATCACTGTACCTGCTTACTTCAACGACTCGCAGCGTCAGGCAACTAAGGACGCTGGTACCATCTCGGGCTTAAACGTTTTACGTATTATCAACGAGCCCACCGCTGCCGCCATTGCTTATGGCTTGGATAAAAAAACTACCAGCGAACGCAACGTCCTTATCTTTGATCTTGGTGGTGGCACCTTTGATGTCTCAATTCTAACCATTGAAGATGGCATTTTCGAGGTCAAGTCAACAGCAGGAGATACCCATCTTGGCGGCGAAGATTTTGATAACCGTATGGTCAATCATTTTGTACAAGAATTCAAACGCAAATATAAAAAAGATTTGACTGCAAATAAACGCGCTCTTCGTCGTTTGAGAACAGCTTGTGAGCGTGCGAAACGCACTTTGTCTTCGTCTACTCAAGCTAGCATTGAAATTGATTCGCTCTATGAGGGAATCGATTTTTATACATCGATCACCAGAGCTCGATTTGAAGAACTCTGTGCTGATCTCTTCAGAGGAACACTCGAGCCAGTAGAAAAATCATTACGCGATGCTAAAATGGATAAAGCTCAGATTCACGATATCGTTTTGGTTGGTGGATCCACGCGAATTCCTAAGATTCAAAAACTTCTGCAGGACTTCTTCAATGGAAAGGAATTAAATAAGTCTATCAATCCTGATGAGGCTGTAGCATATGGAGCTGCTGTGCAAGCTGCCATTCTTCATGGTGACAAATCTGAAGAAGTACAAGATCTATTACTTCTTGATGTAACACCTCTATCTCTTGGTATTGAAACTGCTGGTGGTGTTATGACTGCTCTTATTAAGAGAAATACTACCATTCCAACAAAGCAAACTCAAACCTTCACTACATATGCTGATAATCAACCAGGAGTATTGATTCAAGTCTATGAAGGAGAACGTGCTATGACAAAAGATAACAATCTATTAGGTAAATTTGAGCTCAGTGGCATTCCTCCAGCTCCTCGAGGAGTTCCTCAAATTGAAGTCACCTTTGACATTGATGCCAATGGTATTCTCAATGTCTCTGCAGTTGATAAATCTACTGGTAAAGAGAACAAAATCACTATTACCAATGATAAAGGCCGTCTCAGCAAAGAAGATATCGAAAGGATGGTCAACGAAGCTGAGAAATATCGTAGCGAAGACGAAAAACAAAAGGAAACTATCGCTGCTAAGAATGGTCTTGAGTCTTACTGCTTCAACATGAAGAGTACAGTGGAAGACGAGAAGTTGAAGGATAAAATCAGCGCCAGTGACAAACAAGTTGTACTGGATAAATGCAATGATATCATTAAATGGCTCGATGCTAACCAATTAGCTGATAAAGAAGAATATGAACATAAACAGAAAGAATTGGAAGCTATATGCAATCCTATTGTCACAAAATTGTATCAGGGTACTGGTGGGATGCCTGGTGGAATGCCTGGTGGAATGCCTGGTGGCTTCCCAGGAGCTGGTGGCGGTGCTCCTGGTGGTGGTGCATCTGGACCTACCATCGAAGAAGTCGATTAAATCGATTACTCGCTTGCCACTGCCCTCTCCATGATTTATTCCGATGCAAAGGATAACAACTTCAAGAACATAGAATTAGACAGCTTCGGTCTTTCGTTCCTAAATATATAATTTATCTAGATTTTATAATTTTTTTTATATCATTGTAAAAATCACTTCTGATTTATTTATTTTGTTCTACTGTAAAACTAGACAAATAATTTATTTCATTAGTAATTTCCTACAGATTATAATAAACGTAAAAAAAAAAAAAACTATTGTACTTATATTTTGAAAATGTGGATAAAAAAGATCAGTTGTTAGTTTTCTATGTTCAAAAAACTATGAAAATATAAAACAATCCCTGAAATACAATTTTTTTATAATTTATTTTCTTACCTTCCTATTAAATTTTAATTTTCATCATCAAATTTATTAATTAAATATTTTTAATCAATTGTTATATCTACAATAATTTTGAATTATTTAAAGTAAGAAAAAATATACAATTATTAGTTTAAATATGTTAGTTATTTAATGCGCAATAAATTCTAGATTATTTTGTAATAAAATATTTGAAATGTACTATAAAATTTATAAAATTACATAATGGAACAAAAAGACAATTTTGTGGATTTATATTGGTACATTTAAATGAAACAAACAAGAATGTAAAATGAAAAAATTATTCATTCTTGTTAACAAATAATGAAATATTACTCATTCTAATTCAATTTTGATATAAAATATGATTATATAAAATTGAAAATAAAGAAAAAACGAATATTTCTTCGCTTAAAATTTGTTGAACTTGATAGAAAAAGTAATGTTAAATATAATAATTTTAGATCGAATATGTTGTGTTCAAAATTGTTCAATATACAATAAAATTTTTATACGATATATATAAAAATTATAAAAAAAGTTATTTCAGAAGATATGTATATTTAATAAATTTATATATTTATTTTAATTTTCATGAAATTAAATTTTATTTGCATGTATAACAGACTCAAATTTGTATGCTGCTACAGAAAACATTTGTTTAATTTGATAATACACTGATAAAAATCAATAATAGATAATATATTATTATATGTTATGATTTGTACTAGAACTTTACAAATTTTCTAATATATGTCCAAATTAATCTGAAATATAACACATGATAGTAAAATAACTCAATTGCAAAATTAAAAAATAACATAGAGTGCGAGAATTAGTATGAAAAAAATTAAGATTGATGTGCCATAGTAGTTGCAAACAATATAGTTGATTTTCCTTTCTTCTTTTTCTTTCCACCTCCATTTTTTTTTGTTTCTGGAAAATAAAATAATTATCATAAATAAATCATTAATGCTATAAACTTTCAAGTCTGCGTTTTAAAACTTTTATTATAGATAATATACTCTTAGATTAATATACTCTTAAAATACTTAAATATTTTATAAAGTTAAATTTTATAAAATTACTTACCTAATTTTGTTTGTTCTAAAGCGGCTGCTAAGGCATCGCCAAAACTTTGACTGTATGATGGTACTGAGACATAATCCTCTTCTTCGGTGTTTTTTGAGGATGATTGAATAGTCATACTAGAATATGGTTTCCCATGATTGGAGTTAATTGATGGCCATACTGTTTGTGATTTTAAACGAGTGCCGGTATTTCGTAACATTTCCGCGAATGATGGTCCCGATTCCTGAGGGATGTCAGTTTGTTTGGATGTAACAATTTCATCAAAAGTGCTTAAAGATGGACTACTAGCTACACTTGAAGTCGTCGTTGATTCTGGTGGTGATGGAACATTTTCTCTACAAATATATACTCGCTTAGATTTTTCTATATATTTTGAAACTAATTTCAATTTTTTATAATGATATGCCAACATATATTATTAATAAATATTCTTTTTTAATCTTTAATTAATCAATATATTTAATACTGTATTATTTTTATTTAATAATAAAATAATGAAAACTACGTACTCAGAAAATAATAATTCTGGCTGCCATTGAGGAAAATGTCGCTGTGAATCAATGTGTACAATAGGTGTTGGATATCTTCCCATACGTTTATTTTCTTCTTCAGTAATCTTTTTTTCTCTTTTTCTCTCTTCACGTTCTCGTTGTTGTCTACGTTTGTGTCTTAATGCTAATTGATCTATAAAATCATTCAAAGCATTAAAATATTCATAAAATGGAAATAAAGTACAGATCTAATTATAAAATTACCTCGAAATGAAAACAAAACTTCTTCTGATACAATGGGCGGTTTTAATTCAATTTCGGCTACCTCGAATTGGCAAGTCAATGGGAGATGACATAAATATCTTAATCTACGTCTTAGATCTTCTGTAAGACTTCCTCCTTCTTTTTCTAAGAGTTTTCCTGTTATAATATGTGGAGAATTTTCAAGATTACCATATTGCATTTCTAACATCTTGACGTTCATTGCGTGAAGATATAAATGTTGTCCATCTTCCGCTAAAAATTAATATAATATTTTTAATAGGTATATCAAACAAATAAATTAAATATTAAAGAAAAAATAAGAACCTTGATAGAAATAAAAGAATTTTGTTATGCCCGAGGTTGATTGAGCGCCGATAAGTGAATTTTCTGTAGATTTTAATATTTCTTCATCTACATTTTTCACATCCTTTTTTATTATAGTATTTGTTTCTTCATTATCTTGAGATAAACTTTTCTCAATGTTAATATTTTCTGTTTGCATTTCATTTGTGAAAATGGTTTCTGATTTTACCTATAAAAAGAAAAATATATTTTATGGAAGAAAAATTTTATCTACAAATAAATGTTTTTATACTGCCTTAGATTAGATTAGAAAAAATTTAATTAATTTCACTTTTTGTAACAATTCCTCCTCTCTTTTTGAAAGTTCTTCAAGTGCCTGTTCAATATAACAATTTTCTGGAGAATCAGGATTATCAGATAGTTCTAATTGCAATTGAATACGTTCTGATTCAATGATATTCTTCACCTGAATTATAATTTATGATATGAATCATAATTAAATTTTTATAATTTAATTTTTGGAAATTTCAGGAACTTACATCTTTTGTATTTGCAATAAGAAGTTTTGAATACACTTGATTGCTAATACTCTCTGAAACAGGGAAAAAGTTTGTTGGATTTTGGATTATAGATCCAACAGGCACTGCAAGCAGAGATCCTTTTTCACGACGCATCAAACGTAAAGTAATAGTATCTCCTAAATTTAATGTACTTTGAGTGACTTCATTAACACTGAAATGGAGAAAAAAAATAAAAAATTCATTAAAATCTTAAAAAAAATTTTATTTTTTAATGTTATTTGAATTCAAATAAATTACCTTTTTAAATCAGATTTTTGGATAGATTCATAACAAATAGGACATTTACGCCAAGATTTATCAGAAAGTGATAAATAATGAAGGATACAAGGCCAACAATAAACATGACCACAACGTGTCATTTTTCCAGCAACAGGTGAACATAAACATATTGGGCATGATAAGCTTTCAGAACTGTGAAGTTTCTAAACAATAGAATATTTACAATTATTATTATTTGTATTTTAAAATAAATAAAATTTAAAAAATTATTTAAATATATTAAATATGATAATATATTATAATTTACAATTTGTTCTACCCATCTCCAATCAACTAGTATATCAGGATCACTTAGATATAATGTGTAATTCCCATTGGCACTTACAACAAATTGGCAGCTAAAAAATAGTAAAATATTAAAATTTATTATTATTAAATTATTTATTCATATTACTTTTACTTTATTATATTTATTTCACATTCTTATTAATATTAATATAATATAGTTTACCTGGCTTGTAAAAATTGTTCTTTGTTGTATTTATGCCGCTGTACTGGTGGAAGCCATCTATTACTGTTTCTAGAAAAACCTTTCATTGATTTTCCATGATTCCATGCACTTGAACCACCTTGCATTTCACGTGGTTCATAATGAAAATTCAGCAGATGATTCAAATTCTGCTTTTTACTTCCTTGGACCACTACTGAGCCAGGCTCAGCTAATTCTGTTTGCACTACCTAAAAATTAAAATGTTGAATTTAAATATAATCTTATATATATAAATTAAATATTATTCCATATAATTGAAATAAACCTTGGTATCCTCCTTTGAACTGCCATGATATTGTCCTTTAGGTTTTGGTCTCTTATCAAAATTTTTTGTTTTCTGTACATTGCACTTCTTTGATTGTTCAAATTTTGAGAAACTGTTAGCACCTGCTGGTTCACGTCGACGCGAGTTTCTTGGAAAAGATTTGTTTGTAACATCTGCAAAAATAACAATTTATTTTTAAAGTTTTTTTAAAGAAATATACATAAGTAATATTTAAATAAATATATTTATTATTTTAATTTATATTCTAATTTATTAAGTAATAAAAAAAATTTTGTATTCAATTTATATAAGATAAAATAAAATATTACAGATAAAATACTTTATTAAATTAAACAATAAGTTGTAAACTTATTAGTTTTTAAATAAATAAATTAATTTTTAAATAATAAATAATATAAATTAATTAAATCTTTTTACAATATTTAGAAATCTTTATGCTGAAATATTCTATATATTATTATTAAAAATTCATATATAATTAAAAAATATTTTGGTTTATAAATAATTAAAAAAAAACTAGAAGAAAACAATTTGAAAAAGTTAAGGTCATAAGATATATAAGTTATTTTTTTTTTGTATTAAGTATACATGTAAGACGTTAACGAAATGATGACGTCGTTATCGACATTGGGACGACGCACCTTGAGTCTTTTTAGAATCAGCAGGAACCCCCTTTGCAGAGGATTGCGGAAATTTTGTATTTTTTTCCATTTCTGGCACGAATGTATTCGTGCTGAATTCCAGAGTGATTGAGGCTACGGTTTCCTCCGTATGGAGAAACAGTGTATTTCTGCAGGCCCTTCATCTTCTTCAATAAGCCATGTTTCGTTATCGTCAAAGGTGAAGAAAAAATCCTCGAGATGCCGATAATCCACGGCCGATGTAACGATACTAGTTTGACCACAAACACGGGTGTAACAGAGCAAAAGCTCTGCTTCGTTTTTTCGCCGTAAACGACGATTATCCCAATTCCTGGCACAACGGCCAAAAGCGGTCGCGATCTCGTCGCTATGATGGCGACGAAACTAATGACTTGCGCAAGCGGATGTAATACGTAATACCAATCGAAAACTTGAACAATTTACAAATATTCATATAATAAGATAATACTATTAACTTGAATGCTTTTTTTCTCTATTTCTATAAATATATACAAATAATAATACAATATTATAGAATATAAAATATATTTTAATTTTAAAAAGATACTAACGAATAACCAGTTTATTCAACTTCCGTTGTTCGAAAACTTAATAATGATAAACTCAATACACTTGAAATCGTCTTATCTTTCAATAAAATTTTATCATATTTCCTATAGTAGTATGATACATATATTGTAAATATTATTTTATAATGAAATTTTTTCAATTGCTTAAAATTATGAAATACATTCAATATAATTTTAATATATTTTTTTCATAATTAACTAGTTATTTCATCTATATTAGAACTATTATATCATTGAACCGTTACATTATTAATAATTTGATTATTAAATTTAAGAAAATTAAAATATTCTGAAATTATTCTGCAAATACAAATTTTGATTATCTTTATTTAATATAATTTTAATGAAAAATTAAAGAATAAATATAAATACTAATGTAAATAAATAAATTATAGATAAAATTAAGCGATGAATTATTTTATTAAAGTGTATATTTTAATAAAATATTTGATACATCTCATAGAATCCTGCTAAAAAATATTGGAATAAATTTTTTCTTTGTATATTCGCTCGATAATAATGAAAAAAAGAAATATAAAAAATAAATTTATTTTTATTAATCTAAAAATAATAAATTAAATAATAAATTTTTAATTTTTCACATAAAAAAATATTTGAAATATAAAGATTTCTATATATTCTTTTTTTCATTTTTGAGTTGATATTTCAGATGATATTTTTATTAAATTTATTAAATTTAATCTTATTAAATTTTTTTTTTAAATTGATGATCATATAATCCTTATCTAACGTAATACGAATTTATTAACTTTCTAATGTCATACACGATAGAATATAACCAATTTAGATATTTGAAATATATATATATATATATATATATAATTTACAATATTTTAAAATAGCAAGAAACATTTGAAAGTAATTTTCTGAAACTTTTGAAGTATTTAATTTTATTAGTTATTAATATAAAAAAAATATTAAATTAAATTTTAATTACACAATTAAAATTATAACCATATATGTAAAAATATATAGACAATAAAATATAAATAAATATAAAGTGCAAAGAATAAAAATAAAATAAATAATAATATAATAGTTGTATTAAAAATTAAAATGAATATTATGTTTTTATATTTAAGCATTTTACAATTATTATTCGAACAATTCAATCTCGTCTAAACTATGATACGTGCGGCATTTTTGGACGCCGCGGAATTCCGCGCATGCGTAAATACAAAATTTGTATCTTGGGTTGTACCTTATAGCATCACGTGATCTCAGCGCGTATATACATCCTGCAGCCGGCAAATTTCCCCACTCATTCTTTCGAACCTTTGCGACGAGGTTCTCTTTTCGAATTTATAACTTTTCTTATGATTTGTCATTGTGATCAATGGACAATTGTTTTCAAAATCAGTCTGTACAAGAATCAACCATTTATTATTGTGACAATAGTTCTTGCAGACTAATTCATTTATAATTTTCAATAGAACCAAGCACATAAAGAATAATAATTATAATATACAATTTCCAATGATTCTTTTATTACATTTGTAAAATAAAACGAAGAAGTACATGAACAAATATGAACTTTTATCATATTTAAATCAAATAATCGTCGGATTAAGTTCAAAGTTGTCACTCGATTCCACGAAAGAACGAAAGCAACATTTCGTGGACAGTTAGTGACGCGGTAATGGGTTTGACGGATACGAGTTTCGAAGTACTTTTGACCCTGTGGAGGGTTCTCGTCGTGGGAGTCGTGTGGACCGAAGAAATCTGCGGTCAGTGTAGCGGTGTCTTACTGAGCCACAGCATTGCCGATCTCACTCGTTAATCATATTGGACATATTATTTGGTAAGTGAAAAATGCACGATGCAAATATTTAATATTACGACCAATTAACAATGATTAATTATGATTAATTATTTTAAATTTAATATTAATATAATTCGATTTATTTACAAATAATATTTTTTTTTCATTTTGCTACTTTTTTTGCAAGATTTTAAATAATAACTTAATTATAAAAATTTTAATACAAAAAATTCTTGATCTCTTTTACATTTTCTTAAAAGTTATTACAAATAACTTTTGTCATTGTCATCATCGTAAAAAGATTTAATTCAATTGTGAATATCACAATCTTAATGAAGAAGAATATAATGCTTTGAATTTTTAATCTCATATTAATATTAAATTTAATATATCATTTATTTAACATTTTAAATGATGAAAAAAAAAAAGATAAAGATTGATCAAAAAATAAATTTCTCTATTTTCTGAATGTTAGAACAATAGTTTGAATTTAAAATTTATGATTGATTCTAATAACTAATAACGTGAAACAATTATTTGAATGGGTTATAGATATATGTTTCAATTGGAGATATTCTTATTTTTCACGGTCATTTGTGGTTTCGATGATTATCCTTATTCTCATATTTCAGTATATGATTTATTTTTAATGTTTCAAAAAACTTAGAAGTACGATTCGCGGAAGATCGAGGTAATTTATCAATTCTTTCGTGAAAAAACAATAATATATTTTCCTTGATAAAATCTGAAAAATTATAATGCATAATTGAAAATGAATAAAAGAAGATTCGATAAAAGCTTTCAAAAATATGTACCATTATTAAGTAAGGTACAAATGAGAAAGATTTTTAATTTAAAAAAATTATAAATAAAATTAAACATTGATAGAAAGATCTATGTACTTCGTAATGTACTTAATAATATTAGAAGAGATTGTATGCTAAACGAATACTGATTGCTTTGTTTTTTGTATTTATATTATTTTTGAAGAAAAAAAAATATAAGCCTTAATATATATTTAATAATAATATTTTTATCAGTATTTTTTAGTATCAAATAACGAAAAGGAAAGTCTTCTAATGTAGCCTTAATGTGTAATTGCATTCAATATAGCACTAACTCATGACGTTATATTAAAACGCCTCTGATATAATAAGCAACATATGAAGTATTATTCTACCTTAAAAAATAAAATTAGATATTTCATAACATTTGATGAATAAATTTAATCATAGATAGTAAATGGAATGGAATAAAAATACGGAATAAAAATAGCAAAAAAAAATCAATCTTAATATTAGATTACCATTAATATTAAATGTATTATACATATATATATATATATATATATATACTTTCGATAAAAAAGATCAAAATTAATTATAATATGAAAAGTATTAATATATTTTTAATAATTAAACAAAAAATAAAAAATTAAAAATCCATCGTTTAACCGGTTTCGATATTTCTCTCTATTAAATAGGAACCATATAAGTCGATATGATAATATGAGCAATACAGTTCTGATTATCATTGGGATCTATCCTCACCTAATCCCGCTAACAACGATTTAATTAATACCATGATTTTATTCATCACCTTGAATAAGAAACCCTAGCCCCCCCCTCCACCTTCGTTCTTTTTCTTCGAATTTGCACGCAACTCCCTCTACATTTCTTGAGCGCGTTCGTCATGTCATCGTTTAAATCTTAGGGAACACGCGAGAGTTGTGTTTCGTTCGTTATTTTCTTTTCTCAAACAAGATTCTTCTCTGGATATTGAAGCAGGGTACGTGTATACGAATAACGTTTCTTCCGAGTTCGAGTTTTCGCAATCTTTGTTTGCACACATCTGTCATCACGATTAATTACACTTTGGTATGTTTGCTATGTAATTTCAAGTATAATGATCAACTGATCAACTATGAGACGTACATATGTAAAGATGGATGTAAGCAACGATCGTAGAAAAAATGGTGCACGAGTGACAAAATGTATAATTCGAGAGATAACTTTATATAATATACATTGAAAATGTATAACATATATTTTCATGACCAAACTTTTTAGGAGTAAGAAAGAAATTCTTCTTATCGATTATTGAAGAAATGTATTTTTTTTTTTTTTTACGAAGAAAAATGGAAAAATTAAGTTCAGAAGAAATTTTAGAAGAAATATGGAGAAGAAATATTTATTATCTTATTGTTATTTGAAAAAAAAAATTTAGAAATTCAATCTGATCAAATGAATCTTATCTCGTTTACAAAAAATGAACTTCTATTTTTTCCTATTGTAAATCGTTCTTTGAAAGTTGCGATTAAAATAATCTTTTGTGTATAAATTATTTAATGTATTGCATGAAAATTGGAATATTTAATTTAAAGTTATCTTATGTTAGATATTTGTTATGTTTTACGGAAAATTGAAGAAAAATAATAAAGAAAAAAGTAAGAATTTTTTATCAAATCGTAGATATTTTGTAGATTTTTTATTTTTTTAATTTTTTTTTATCATTAGAATTTTAATATTTTTAATAATAATTATATAAAATACTTTAATCGATTTTTCAATCTTGTATGAAATTTCTTATATAACTAATTAAAAAATTCTTATATATATATTTCTTATATAACTAATTAAAAAATTTTTCATAGAAAATTTTTTATCAGAATATTAGAAAAAAATTTTTACTTAATCAAAATATTTTATTCAAAATTTTTCCAAGAACTTATCAATAATTCTCACAGAAATGTTATTATTATGTTCAAAAACACTTAGAAGAAATTTTCATCTATCGTTCCATTATAGAAATCGGACAATTTCGATACCTATGATTTCGATATTCGAAATCACTTATCTATGATATCGCAACTATTCCAATTAAAAAAAAAAAAAAAAAAAAAAAAGAAGCATCATACCCCAAAGCAGAATTTTTCATCGCACCTGTTCGCAGAGAGGGAGAGAAAAAGAGAGAGAAACACGGGGAACGAGTACATACATAACGTAACCGGGAGTGGGATAGAGACAGAGAAAGAGAGTTCTATCGTTGTTCGGCAATAACCGCCGAATATCAATTAATCGGGTCGATCCTATAGACAAGCGTGGATCAGTGCGTGTGACAGAAAACCCCTCGTCGAGAGCCCCCTCGAAGCCGGCACTGCGGCCGCCTTTGAAATATACGCTGTTTGTCCGGGACCCGTCACCAGGGCACAATGAGCCTCGCTTGGGGGTTAAGCGTTGTCGCTTGAAGGGCTATCGATAACTTGTCGTCGCCAAATTACACGTGACCGCGCCCGCACGCGCCTCCAATCACCATCCTCTTTTCTTCTACCCCCTTCTCCCCCTCTTCCTCCTCTATCTTTTTTTACCTCGTATCTCCGATCTTTTACGTATGTAGCTCAATTAATATCAGAATTGGTGGAGATATATCAGCAAATCTATATCTAGGCATAATCGTTTTGAGAAAATTCGATTTTTAATATAAATATAATTGAATGTCTAATAGAAGGATATGTGTTACGTTTTCATAAAATTTACAGGAAGACGATTAAAAATAATTCGTTGCTCGATTCGTAGCAAGAGATTTTGATCGGTTCATCAATAGCGAAGATAATTAAGATAATGACGTGGTATGTGTAGATTTGAATCCTTCTGAACGAAGTTATTGGTTTTGAATAGCGAAGTTGTTGATATATGAAAAATTGAAAAAATCTTCGATTAGCATGTTAAATATAAGATTGTTAAAATTTTATTAATTAAAATTAAAATTAATTAATGGAATTCTTTGTTGTAAGGAAACTGAGACATGTCGTCGAGGGTGGTGAAGAATGCGCCAAAGTTGAACGGCAGCGTCGACGGCAGGGAAACGTGGTCCGGCAAAGTCGATTTTCTTCTCTCTGTCATCGGATTTGCCGTCGATCTTGCAAATGTCTGGAGATTTCCTTACCTATGTTATAAAAATGGTGGCGGTGAGTATATTCAAAGATTTGTCAATTATCTAATTCATCATAATATAATCATAAAATTTATAAATTATTTCAAAAATTATTTTTGAAATTAAAATGAATTCTTAAAGATTCTAAGCAAACAAACGTTCTAAGCCATTATTAAAAAATTTTCCTCGCGATACTTCTTGTTTATAAATTTTTAATGAGTTTGTTTTGATATGAATCATAATCTTCTATGTTAGTAATTGCATAATCTTTTCTATTTCTTAGTTATCAGATCAATATTTCACAATATTTCAATCATACTCCTATATTATAATAACTATATACTGTCTGTAAGATTTTTCCTTCATGATTATTAATTTCACAGTTATCTCGGTATTTTTCATTTGAATCGCACTATAATAACAAATATATTCGACGATTTTCCAAATTAACGTATACGTAAGAACAATGAACGTAAGAATAATGATCAATAACGATTAGATCGTTTCTTTAAATCGTCAATTATTATATATCACGATTGATTGAGTAAACAAATATTACTATAACAATTGCTTAATTATTAATCTCTACATCTGAAACTTCACTGAATAACAATGAATCAGCGATGAATAATTATATTAATAAAATAATATAATTTCAAAATTATTTTAAAGATAATTTATAATTAATATAATTTATGAAATAATCTATAATTTTTAATCTCTAATAATTTATAATTATTTTAAAAATCATACATAGACAAATAAGATGACATATAATCTAAATAGTCATTTAAATATATTATTTAACATCCAAATTCTGATTAAATATATTATGTTATCTATATATTTATGTTATTTTTCATGGAATCAAAATTTTTTAATAGAATATTCTATCACTTTAACACGTTGCCATCTGGTAGCGTTGTAAGGCGTTATTTCACAGCTGCAATGGGGGATGCATCAAGTAATGCACTCCAGCAGCCAGGCAATACCGCGTTAACCGGTCGACTAATTGGCATTTACCTCGTGGAAAATGACCCTGAGATTTAGATTTCACTCTGCGCTTCTTATCCGTGAAAGCATCTGCAAGTTTCAAAATTGGCCCAAATTAAAGCGAAAAAGCAATTTAAGGGTCATGTACCGACTTGGAAGATTGGATCGTCCACGGTAAATCTAATTTTTACTCTAGTTATATCGTTTCATATTTTCGATTTGTTTTTCGACTGTTTGGTTAAATTGTATCATCTTCCTCAATCTGAAATAGGAATTTCTTATTTCTTATGCGGTGTACCTTAAATATAATGTACTTGTTAAAAGTGAGGTTATATATAGTTAAGATCGAAAGTATTTCTCAATATGTGACATAACATTAAATTTTTAGTTCATTGATTTGTTAAATGAATCTTCATTTTTATCACATTAATTTTTACTAAAAATATTCTACAAAAAAATTACTATTTCTGATTACATACAAATGATATTTTCTTAATTCCAGAACATTTTTTCATTATCACTAATAACTAAAAAACTTTTGTAAACTATATTTCATTTGATTGCATTCAATTGCTTATCACGTGCAATGTTTACTATAAATCAAACATGTTTCTATTTAATTCGCCATTCTTTTACAAACTTTCTAATAATAATTCTTGCAAGCAACATACACAACGACTTGAAAAACGATAGACTTATCGATGACGACATAGACGACTCTATTAACCCCTCCCTTGTTCTATCGAGTCCCTAGTAGGAATACGATTAGGACCAGCTATCAGCGATACCATGACTCCTCAAAAGCGGCTGCTAACTCAATTAAGAGGAGAGTAGGGCGCACCATTAGTACCGGGAAGATCGGTCGCTAATTTCCAATTACCTTAATTAATTATAATTTCCCATTCGGGCTGGCCTTTGATCATGGACGTCCGCGACGCCTCTGCCTGGCGCATGTCACCGTACGCGATCCATTATGTCGCATCATTCCGTCCCTACGTTTCGCGCTTTCTTTGCGGAAATTTGCGAATTTCCCCCACAGTCATTCTTTCATTTCCTCATTGCAAAAAAAAAAATTCTGAACAACGTGATTAAAATCGTTTTTGGATTAATGTGGCCCGTAATTATTTTCATAAAGTACTTCGTAAAATTTTAGAAAAAATAAAATTTAGCTTTTTTTTTTAATAAAAATAAAAAATTGTGAAAAAATAAAAATTTATAATTTTTTTATTTATCGTTTTTCTGATTTTATTATTAATTCGATATAATGGAATATTGATCCGAATTTAGATTATCCAAATGATTGATTATCCAAACGTAGAATGATAATTATTTAAAGCATTTAACAATTTTTATATTCTATATATATATATAAATATTGGAACAATATTTATGAATGATTAATTTTTTTTTAATCTTTTATTTTCAAATTGTTTAATACGTTACATAATGTTGTTTTATGTTTAATAGTATTTGTTTTATTATAAATTTATTGTTTCTGATCAAATATGGAGGAAAATTTATCAAAAAAAAAATTATAATAAATTATTGGAAATAAAAATATCAGAACTATTTTATGAATTAACGAAATAATATTTGATTCAGTAATTTAGTAAGTAACTTTTTAATAAGGATTTTTGTATTCCAGTTTCCTTGATAATATACGTACATATGTATCTATTCATTAATACATTTAAAGAGACATTTTCAGCATGTCACAAACGAATGTCTGAGTTTGAATAACATTTCCGTTTAATTTCAGTTCTTTGAGGATAACATCACCTTCAAAGACATTTTGTCCTTGAATTCAATTGGATTCAATTTTGCAATTCGTTGTTAAATTAAATTTGAGAAATTTAAATATATATAAACATTGATATTGTTTTAAATATAATTTATTCCACTATTTATTCAACAAATATTAGTGATAATAAATATATAATGCGTTTCTTAGTTAATCGATGATGATTAAATCATTTGATTCGAGTTTGCAATTTAAATATACATTATGCATATCAATTACTAAGTTATTACGTCAACTATTTAATTGATGACTAACTATATCCTTCTATAACTATAATTATCTTTCTATATTTTTATGCAAATAAATCATATTGTGAAAATATATTTGAATTATATATAATAAAATATTATGATGAAAAGTTGTACTATTATTTTAAAATATTTTATTTTCATAAAATAAATTACATATTTATTATAAATTATATTTTTGTAAATATTGTATTATTGTATTATTTTTTTTCTATTGTAAATATATAAATTGATAAGAGCTATTAAATTTTTATCAGTTCATAATAAAAAATGACTTAATAACTAAAGTATTTTAGCTATTAATTTATCAATAATGTACTTTAACTATTATTATTGAGAAAATATAGCAAAATTTGTTTTTATCGTTTCTTTTATATTTTCTGAGTGAGAACACTTTGTTGTTAGTTAAACATTTTTGAAATTTGATTAATATGATGCTTCTTTTTTTTTTCTTTGTCATTTGTTCAGATGATAATTCACAATATTACAAATTTTACAATAGGATAAGATAAATATTTTGAATAAAATATATTTAAATGTAAGATTTAAAAAAAATGTTGCAACAGATTTCCAAGAATTTTTCTGTAAGCACATTCTTATTTATAACTTTGATACTCGTAAATATGATAATAGAAATATAATTGATGAATAGTAAACAGCATTATGAATATCAATGAAGATAAAAAAAAAAATTTCACAAGGAAAAATGTTTGAAAATATTCTTTTGACAAATTCATGACAAAATAGTTGATAAAAGTGACTTATAATAATTTTTACTTGATACACGAATGAACAAAAGATATTACAAAAGCAATAATATTGAATTTGTTCGTGACCGAGAAAAGAAAAGATTTATCAAGGCAACCGCATAAGAAAGGAATATTCTTACCTAATGCGATTATGTCTCCGTGGTTACGGAGAAGAATTTATTGGAAAAAACGAAGGCAGAACAATGGATAGGAATGTGCGTGCAACATATCAGAGGAAATTCATATTTAAAGATAATAATAATATCTCTATGAATATTCATTTCTTAAAATTTTTCGGATACATGAACTTTTATGAATATATTTCTGCAAATTAAAAATTTATTTGAATGATTAAATTTATATAGTTTGTTGTTGCAATTTATTTCTTCTAAATTACTCGTTTTAATTACTTGTATATACTTGTATGTTTCTTCTCAACATTTTTTTTAATTTCAAAAATTTTTTTTCTCTATTATTGTATTGTAGAATTTTGAAAAGAACAGAAAGATAAATATTAAATCAAAATGAAAAGTTATATTGTATAAATATTTGATTATCAATTTTTTTGATGTTTAATAATAAATAATATAAAAAATAATATTTCTATTTTAATTGATATTGTAAAAAGAAATAAATATATTAATATAATTAAAATAAATATATTAATATAATTATTACACTTACATTTATTATACTAGTTTTCAATTATTTTTATTAAATATTCATATAAACTGCAACTTGTATATATTTATTTATTTTAACAGATATCAATTTTGCCAGAAAAATTGTACTATATAATATATTTAAAAATATATTTAATATTTATTTACTTTATGTAATCTGTATAAATATTATTTATTTAAAAATCCTCAATATTAATATCCGTTTAATCGTTTGATAAATCAGCTTTATCAAAATCACCATTTCAGCCATTGCTCTGATACATTTTCGAAAGTTCACTATCGAATTACGTATACCTAAAAGCACCTTGCTGCCACTGGTGCTCTAAATATTCTGCAATTCAGTTATGCAGCTAACACGATGATGCGAGTGGCTCGCACATCACTTTTTTTTCTCGCTCTTCATATCGGCCTCTTGTCACACGGCAGATGTCATCAACGATGATAAGAATCCGGACGTTTCCCACCAGTGGTTTGCAAATATAAATTGAACGCGTTCGATTTTACTAAAGATATTAAACAACGATTTTCCAATTATTATCTGATGAAATTTCATTTCAATATTTATTCAATATGTGACAGAAAAGTATTCGAGAGATCTTTAATAATCAGAAATTAATTGCAATTCTGAACCAACAAGAAATTTTTCAAAATCAAATATTATTTCTTTTATTGCAATTTTTATTGCAATTTTAAAATATTGAAAATATTAACAAATATATTTTGTAAGATATATTATCACAATTGTCAAACATTAATTTGTTATCTGATCAATATTTAAATGTTATTCAAAAAATTAAAAAAAATTATTCTTTTATTTATGTTATATTTTTATATTATATTTGATACTGTTCTGTTTAAATAAATTTTTATTATTAGTTCTTAATAAAAAATGACTACAATTCACAAAAATGTTGTGAATTGTGTTCACAGGCGCTTTCCTGGTTCCATATTGTATAATGTTAGTAGTAGGAGGTATTCCATTGTTTTATATGGAGCTTGCCTTGGGTCAGTTCAATCGAAAAGGTGCGATCACTTGCTGGGGTCGTTTGGTACCACTTTTAAAAGGTAAGTAAGACGATTTTCCATTATTTTTCACCTGCAAGTTAATAACAAGTTAATCACAAAAATATTAAAATTATATACTCTATTCTATATAAAAATATATCTATGAATATCACTAAAAAAATTATTAAAATATTATTAAAATTTATTTTAATAACATTTTAATAATAAATTACCTCTCACTTTATAACGAAAAATTCTCTCCTATAAAACATTTTTATCTCTTTAGAATTTTATCTTTGAATAATTCATTTTTGAAAAGATTAATAAATATTTACTATTTTATTTTAATAATTCGAAAATAAAATACAATGCATCACATACACACCTTCTTTCGATCAAAGACAATTTCAATAACTGTTCTCAATACTTTTTTACAAAAAAAATCACCCAGCTTTGAAATAATCGCGTTAAAATACCCCCATCCACTCGATACCATTCACCGAATAGACTTCATCAACAATAGAGGTAACAGCACTGCTGGCCAATTACTATTCCGATTGCCTCTCAGAACATTTCTGGAAAACGTTTCAAAGCACTTTACCGTCATCTTCACCGGAAACCGTGCATTAGACATTAGATGTTATATTTTCTTTTCTTCCTTTCTTCCCCACACGGTACATTATGTAACGCGGTATAAATCCGGGAAAATCCGAGGATGGAAGACCACTCGAGAAGTAGTCCCCCATTTCCGCCGATTTCCTGGATCGTGACGATCTCAATCTCGGGCTACCCTGGCGTGAGATGATCGATGGAACCAGATTTTTTTTCTCTCTCTCGACTCTCTTGTCTTACGCGCGTTTTTTCCCTTTTGATCCGCATCGATGAACGACGTAATTGATTCGTGACGGTGAAGATACGGCCTCCCCACGGGAGGATAATGGAATATTCTCCGGCTGGGAACCAGGACATAAGGACACGTCCTTGGAGATTTTTTAATCCTTTGAAATGAATTTTTCTTATTATATGATATATAGGTTAAAAGTTATTATCTTGAAAATTAAGGGGGGGGAAGGAGAGAGGTCTTCTGATGTTTGCGAGCGGAAGAGATAATTCTTGATTATTTTGGCTTAATAATTTTTAATAATTGTAAGTTTTTAAAAATTGTAAAATCGTGTCAATTTTGATTTCTAAATTTAACGTCATTTATATTGTTAGTTTGAGAATTACGTGGGAATTTGTGATTATGGAAAAAGAAATTTCTGATTAATTTTTAAGATCAATTATTTTATCGTGCTAATTATTATTAAAATTAAAAAGCAAAACTATTAAAACTATTAATTAATTTAGTTTTTTATTTTCCAAGAATTATCTTTTAAATTAAATTTTTTGACATAATCAAATACCTTTTTATATATAATTTTTTATCTGTGCGTAGGAATTGGCTACGCAGTGGTATTAATTGCATTCTACGTCGATTTCTATTATAATGTGATCATCGCCTGGGCATTGAGGTACTTCTTCGCCTCGTTCGCAAGTCTTTTACCTTGGACTACCTGCGACAATCCATGGAACACTTTACATTGTCGTACATTTGACACAAACATTTCTTACATGTTCGACGATGCATATTTCGTCGACACGCTCGACTCCACATATCCTGGCAATTCATCTCTGATCGAGGACCGTTTGGATAGGAATTCGAATCAAGGATACAATAGCACGTGGTACACAAGCGCTGCTCAAGAATATTTCAAGTGAGTATAATGTGTAAAATGACTTGAATTTCTTCAAAAAAATCCAGTTTCAAGTAATAATACAAAACTGTAAAAAAAATATAACAGATTTATAAAAGTTTTGCAAATATGTGCATAAAAGAAATATTATCTTATTAATGTGCATATATACATAAAAATATTTAAAAATTTAAATAATTAGGTGGTATTCATTGATAATGCATATTTTTTTAAATATTTCTTTAATGATATTCAAAGAAAACCATATAATACCTTGCCATGTCTGACTATAAATTTATCAATACTACTGTTGTAAGAAGATTAGCTATTTCAAGAATAATTCTTTATTTAAGTATACATATTTCAGATACTTATTTATATATATACGTATATTATAATATTTATTTTGATATTAAGTTTATTATTATTTAAGAAATTTTAAATTAAAAATGAAATATTATTTTTAATTAATTATTTCCAAATTAAATTTTTGATAATTTTAATATTTTAAATGGCAATAGGATATCACTTAATGAAAAGTAAAATTTATAATTAACTCGATAATTTCACTTAAAGCCGAGCTATTCTAGAACTTCACGAAAGCGAGGGTTTACACGATCTTGGAACAATTAAATGGGATATTGCATTATGCCTGCTGATGGTCTATCTGATTTGTTACTTCTCCTTGTGGAAGGGAATTTCTACTTCTGGCAAGGTAAAATTTGTATATTAATATAAATCTCGATTCATAAGTTTATGGATATTTCTAAGAAAAATTATTTTATTAAAAATTTATCACTGATTAAGTTTTGATCATCATATTATTAATTTAAAACTTTTATAATTCTTCCAATTACCACCATCTTTTAATGAATTGAAACGAGTAATGAAAAATACTTGAAATTATTATTTCATCAAATTACAATGAAACAATTTATTTGTTTGTTAGGTAGTTTGGTTCACGGCTCTATTTCCTTATGCTGTTCTATTAATTCTACTTATACGAGGCGTCACGTTACCAGGAAGTCTGGAAGGGATTCGTTATTACCTCAATCCGAATTTTTCCGCCATCAGTAAAGCAGAGGTAAAGAAATTTATTATATTCGCTAAATAAAAAAAACTTTGAAATTATTACTATTTTTTTTCTATTTATCAAAAAATCAATGTGTCGTTCTCTTTCAATTTTTATATTGGATATATTGAATTACAAATTAATAAGTTTTAAGGAAAAATATAAAATCAAATACCATATTTCCATCCTTTTTTATATCACTATAAACTATTTTCACTTCTCTTGCTTCATCATGCGTTCCTCCACTTCGTCGGATTTAACGAATCGCCTTTCAGTGGATAATCGCGACGTTATGAAATAGCCATTTACACCAGTCATGGCGAGGAATAAAAATCTGAGAAGTTAATGCAACGGCAATAAGAGGGTTGAAAAAAAAAAAAAAAAGAAGAATCGGACATCGTCCCCGAGAAAAATAGGGGATAGAGTGAAACGTGCCGAGTTTAACCGACTATGGTGAAAATGGAAACTCTGTGTACCTGTCATAATGACCATTAGATTTTCGTTCCAGTGGTGAGCCGCGTTCGACCCTCTTGATTCGCAAGTGAAATGCATTTTTCTATAGCACCTTCGAACCATTGCTTCCAGAGATCGGTGAAATAGAATTTATACAGCGACGAAGGAAATTTATTAATTTCGAAAATTTGTAGATTTAGAAAGTGGAATCGTGCACGTTTTATTCTTATGGGAAAGAATAATCTTTTTCCTAAAAGGGAATGAAAAAAATAAAATGTTTTCTAAATGAATAAATATAAATAGGATTAAAAGAAAAAAAATTAAAAAAAGAAATAATTATTAAAATATTATTTGTTAATAAAATATATTAAGATTTATATTTTAAGTGTATAATATGATAATATTTTTGTTTTAAACTAGAAAAAAAAGTTTTATATTATAAAAATAAAGTAGATTTGAATAAAATTAGATTTTTGTTAAGAATTTTTAATTTACAGGTCTGGGTGGATGCAGCAACGCAAGTGTTTTTCTCTCTTGGACCAGGTTTTGGTGTACTTCTGGCTTATGCAAGTTATAACAAATATCACAACAATGTCTACAAGTAAGAAATACATGTATACTTAAATAAGTAAACATTTTAATGAAAATTAAATTAATATTTTAAATTAAATTGAAAAAAAAATACAATTTCACTTTTCAGATCAATCTATTTTCATTTATCATGAAAAATATTTTCAAGATTAAAAAATTCCAAATATTTATAATTATGTAATAATAAATATAAAATTATTTTTCTAAAGTGTTCAACATTTATTTTTCCAGGGACGCTTTATTAACCAGCTTGATAAACAGTGCAACATCCTTCGTTGCTGGTTTTGTGATATTTTCTGTATTAGGGTACATGGCACGAGCAAGCGGAAAATCCATTCAAGATGTAGCGACTGAAGGACCTGGTCTAGTGTTTATCGTTTATCCTGCTGCCATCGCTACTATGCCTGGATCAACATTTTGGGCACTCATCTTTTTCATGATGTTGCTTACATTAGGATTGGATAGCTCGGTATATATTACGTAACTTTTCATACAATTTTCACCAATTACATAACAAAAATATATGTTATAAAAAATACGAAACAATTTATAAATTTTTTTAATGCCAAGAAGATTATTAATATTTCTTCTGAAAATGAATCTATTTTTATTTAATGATTTAATATAATATAATATTAAGCTTTATGCTTACTTTATATTATAATATATATTTTTATAACTAAATAATATCATAAAATTAATATAATATTACTTCTTAATAATTTTCTTAATAATGTTAACTTTGTACTTCATTTTTATTATGTATTGCAATATAAATTATAATATATTCTAACATAATCAAACCTTTTCTTATAGTTCGGAGGTTCCGAAGCGATAATAACTGCTCTTAGCGATGAGTTTCCAATTATTGGGAATAATCGTGAAATTTTCGTCGCTTCGCTTTTCACGCTATATTTCCTTGTCGGTTTAGCTTCATGTTCTCAGGTAAAGTGATTTATAAAGCATTATAAAATATAAAATATAAATAATGAAACAGCATACAAAAATAATTGTAAAATGATATATTTTCAAAATCTAATTAAATATTTTTTAATTCAGTCATTCTTTTTCCTATAATAAAAATATTTGAATTAAATGTAATTAAATTATAATAAAAAAAACTAAACATAAGAGTATTATTAAAATAATATAAATTTTTGTTTAATTTTTTTTTAATTAAAAATATATATTCATTATATTAATTTTTATTTACACAGGGTGGCTTTTACTTCTTCCACTTGTTGGACCGATACGCAGCTGGATACTCGATGCTGTTTGCAGTTTTGGCGGAAGCGATCGCCATTAGTTGGATCTATGGAACAGACAGATTTTGTGCAGATATTAAAGATATGATTGGATTTTCACCAGGAATCTATTGGAGAGTCTGTTGGAAATTCGTTGCTCCGATATTTCTTATGGTAAAAATAAAATTTATTGAGATTTTTTTTTTATTTAGTTTTCTTATCTGAATTTGTAGAAAAAAATTCATAAATTAAAATTTTAATAAAATAAATAAATTAAATATTATGTGATACATTATATTTTCTTCGTATTTTATCGTTCTTCTTCTTTTTATCTTTTATTTTGCAATTCATAAATATTCATATTTCTAACTTAAGAAACCGAATAATATTTTCTATTATTTTTAATTCAGAATTATATTATAATCTTATTATTATTAAATAATAAAATATATATATAATATTTATATATAATAAAATATAAATAAAAATAATAAATCATTTTAAAGTATATATGTGAAAAATAAAAAAAAATAAAATCATTTTTATAAATTAATTCATTAATATTATTATAGTTTATCATCGTTTACGGTTTAATGGGTTACGAACCACTGACTTACGAAGATTACGTATACCCTGTGTGGGCAAATATATTAGGCTGGTTAATTGCGACTTCCTCAATTGCGATGATACCCGGCATTGCAATTTACAAGATCATTATCACACCCGGCAATTTTATTCAGGTATCTTAATCTAATTTTCATGCAATTGTTCTTAGTACATTCTTTTCAATACTGATTTGAATATGTTTAAGAAAGAAAAATTAAGAAGGACCTGTAAAAGAATTATAATATATATATTTATCTCAGAAAGTAATATTTATATTTTAAAATACATAACTATGACTAGTACATTATATACATGTAATTAAAATTAAAAGAAAAAAGAAAAAGAAACAAGAAAATAAACAAAAATAATACAATAGTGTATACCTGTAATACCTGTTTAATTACTTTAAACATGCATATAACGATTAAAAGCATTCAACAATTAGGGCTTGTAGAAATTATAAAATTTAATTATATATTTAATTATATAAAAAATAGTTTTCTTCTTATTACTTTTATTACTTATTACTTATATAAACAAATATATATTTAATAAATTACAGAGATTAAAGATTCTCACCACCCCCTGGAGAGATACTCAACAAAGAAACGCAGATTTCTCTTCAGTCGCAAATGGCGCAGTTCGTCGTAGTTTCATCGTGGATGAAGATTTAAACCTAACCAAAGAACAACAAAATTTAAGAAAAGAGCAAACGGAGGTGATGATCCAATCTAGAGAGAATGTTAATGGAGATCCACCACCGGAGCCAGTCTAGGACAGTGCGGTTGTGATTTTACACGGTGCCCGGTTCCAAGTATATCTTTGCTAATACTTTATCGTGGGAATGTACAGTTCTACACGAAACTCGAACGCACCCACTTAGATTTTACGATACAAATGTTTAATGACAATTATTTGCTCTTTTTGAAAGACAAAGCTTCAAGCTTTGTTAGATTTTTGTGGAAAAATATTTTTTCTTAATACATTGTTATTGCAGTGAAAAATATTTAAAAAAAAATCTTATCTTGCTATAAATTATGTTAAAAATAAGTTTTCAATCGTTCAATCCTTATATTAGTCTTTTAATGCACTGTTAACTCTTTTGCTACTAATATAATAATAATAATATGTCTGTAAAAGTATTTCGATCTCTGAATATTTTTAGAGATTATAAAAATTTTATTTTATTACATTTTATTATTTTATAATTATTATAATTTTTATTATTAATTTAGAATAATCTTTAAGAGATTTTAAATTGAATTTCGAATATTATAGCAAATCAGTTAAGTGCAATGAAAAAATAATTCCGTTATTTTAGATAAATAAATCGCACAAAGTATATATATATTTTTATCTAATTTTTAAAATAGCACATTTTTGTTTTGAAATTTTCCTAAAGTGTCCTAAAATACAAATATGTTGCGAATGGTCCAACCTGTAAATATTACAGGCATCATGAAATTTCTTAGATAAATTCACTAAATAAATAATGAATATTATTCTAGATTTAGTAAATGTAAGGCTGTAATTATTATTAAAAAAAAATTTCTTCAACAACAGCCTTAATTCAATAAAACATTCAATAAAACGATCTTTTATCAATTAGAAATTTAGAAATGTTTCACAAGAAACACAAATGTGAAAAGTTTAACCTTACTTACGTGAACATTAAAAAAATCTATAAAATATTATAAAATAAATACAAATAGTTAATAAAGATGAAGAAATGATCAAATAATAATATAATAGTAACTTTTTTTGTCTAATTTAAAGATATCAAATATTTGTAAAATATATTTCATCTTTGCTTGAAAATAAATATTTCAATTTTAATTTCATTCTTGAAAAGTGTTAACTCTTTACAGATGCGAACTATCTATTATTTCAAAAAATTTGTTTAAATAAAAAAATTGTATGATATATTCGTTGTTCATAAATTAAAAATGTTTTATAAATAATTATTTTTTATATTATTATGTTATTATAACTATTTTTTTCTAAATCAAAATGGATAAATACGTCAATATGTAGTTTAAAAATTTTGCTGCAACCTAACCTCTTTGAGAAATTTGTTTATTTTCAACAATATCAAGATCTTCGTAAAATCTTTGTACTATCTCAAAATTTAATAAAAAATTTAAAAATTATATCATTACATAACAAGTTTTTGTAAAAAATTGGAGAATATAAATTTGTTCTCCATCACAAAGAGTTGACACATATATTACATAACACATATTTTACATAAACGATGCATCATAAACATTATCACATCCGATTGTTTCTATTTGATTATTCAAATGCTCTCACATCGTCTAGTTCGACTAGACGTATATGCTGTGTAGACTATACGTGAATTATAATCACCGATCAGGTGTAAAACGTTATATTAAAAAGTAGTGAATTTCAAACGTTTATCGATAACGTTCGTCCATTGTTAAAAAGCAACCACGCTTTATCTATACAATACCTAGCACAGTCTGATTCTCGGGTAAGAAATATCTGAAAAATATTACATCGTTAAAATTTGTGATTAAAATAAGAATGATTTACTTCGAAAACAGGTTATATATATAATGTGATAGCGATAAATTATGTTAAGGAAAAAAGACACGCTAAAGTACATCAGTTTTTAATTTTTTATTATTTTTTAATAGATTATTATACAGAATTAATTTTTATATATTGTAATTGTTATTATTTTAGTTATTCAAAATTATTATTTTTTATAATATTATTCTTCCTTTTATAATTATTTTTTAACAGTATTATAAATAAGAATATAATATATAATAATATTGATTATTATTATTTTTGATTATATTTATTTGATTAATATTGATATAATATTGGTACAATTACTTAATATTTTTATAGATTCTTTTCAATTTTTTTATAAATATATTATATTTAGATTACAATTTTACACGATATTTATATTATTATTTTTAATAAAATTATACATTCAATGTAAAATTATTTTTATTCTTTTTTTCCGATAGTTTTATTATATAAAAAAATTAATTTGTTAAACGATTAATTGTCTGTCTCTACAATTGTGAGAATTAATAATGTGGTAAATAATTGGTTAAATGTTAAGTATTTGAAAAATTGATCATAAAATAATTGTTAGAAAATAATCTATGTGCGAATACACATATATGTACCATATAGTTTATAGTTATTGTTGTTAGATGAAATGGTACGTATGTATGTATAATTATACGTGTATATATATATATATATATATATACACATATGTATAAAAAACCCATCAAAAGTAAAATCTTAAAATATCTTTAATTGCGAGAATTTGAAAAAATATATTAAATGATTCAAAATATTTACAAAATAATTAAATACAATCTTTTTCCAAAATCAAATTGAATTTATTAATCATTTTAAAAATAATTTCATTTTTATTTTGATTTTGTAAATTATTCATTAGAAATATTAGAAAATTAACTTCATAAAATTAATTTTTTAAAATTAATTTTTTAAAATATTAATTAGAAAAAAATAAAATTACAATTTTGTTTTTTGATAATTTATAAATATTATTAAATTATAAAAATTATAAAATTTATAAATATTATATTTATATTCTTTGATATGTAAATTTACTTTAAAAAAAATTTTAAGAAAAAGTTTTAGAAAAATAATATCCCAAAGAATGACAATATTTTTAAATTGATTAATAAAATTTAGATTTAAAAAAATTTTTTATAATTATATTCGTATTTAAAAAATATGTAGAAATCGTATTTTGGATATTTTTCAAATTCTCGTTAATCGTGGAAATTATTCTAACGTTCCGTTTACGATGAACCTTCCTGTACAATTGTATGTTATATTTTATACATCGCATCCGAGTTGTAACCACAGCCATAGGTAGCAGCTCGGGCCTTGTTAATATAGTAAATAAATAAATGAATATTCACAAAGATTTGATGATTATCTTATAAATAATTTACTCTTTATGTTATTAAAGTTTAAGTTTTATGATTATGAGATATTTATCATAAAATCAACAAAAGATAAGTATTTAAATACTTTAAATTCTCGTTTTTGTTTTTTTAATTTAGAAAAAATAAAATAATTTTTCTATATATTAAATCGAAATCGAATTTATTTATAATTCTTACATGAAATATTTTTATGTAAGAACTATCATATTATTACTATTATATTTATATAAATATCAAAATTTAATAATCCTAATAAGAAATAATATATAAGAAATATGAAATATTAAAATATTAAAAAATCAAATTAAAAGTTTAGTGAAAAATTAAAATCGAAAAAATAATGAAAATTGAATGAAAAGTAATAATTAATTAAAAAAAGTAACAATAAAATTAAAAAATTATCAAGTATAAAATATAAAAAAAAGCCCAAATTAAATAAATAAGTGTATAAATATTAAAATGTATATTCGTACTTACTATATTTGTTATACATTTAAAAAAAAAATCAGTTAATTGGAGTCAACTTATTATTTGTAAATATAATATATTGATAATAATTTCTTAATAATAATGATGAAATGTTCTACACTTGCAAATAAAACGCGCGAAACTGTCACATTCACAAATAAATACATTTAGAATATTTATAAATAAATATATATAGTATAAATACTTGCAAATAAATATAATATAAATACTCATGAATAAAACATATATAAATGCATATTAGACGTAATTTTAAATTATATACGAAATCGAACAAATATAACTTCAACGCATCTAAATAGACAAGATTGAAGCAAAACTAATCAAAAGTTATAAACGAAAATATTGTCTGATATTGTTTGTAAATTTCAAACAATTATTTTAAAATATGAAGTATTTAAATCTTTAATAATCTTTAATAATCTTTAATATTTAGATTCATGAATGTTAATAATTATAGTAAATAAATAAATTATTAAAATTTGACTTCATAATTCCAATAAAAAAAATATATGTGATGAGAGATCTATCTTATATGTTGTTTATGATTATAATATATATCTCATTGATAGATTGAAGATATTTGGTTTATGCTATGTATATTCAAAAAATTCCATAATAAGTCGATTATATTATAATAATAATATAAAAGTAAAAAAATGATAAAGAACTTCACGAACTTCCAATACAATTCGTTTATGTTTTTAAATTATATGACATGAAAATGAATTGGATGTTACATCTATGTTATACTTTACCTATGCTTGTACTTTTATCAATGGTGGATTTATAAGAAAAAAACGTTAATTTCGAATACTAACAAAGAAATATTATAGAAATTGAATCTTTAATTTGGTGACTTGTCATTTTTTAAATAATTTTTGTTAGTTCGTGTTTTAAAATGTTAAAAAAATTCATGACAATAAATCATATTTTTATCTAATGTCAATATTTATTAAAGATGTAGTAATAGTGACAGCTGATGAAGAATTAAATTGTTGCGTAGGTGGTTAAAATTGTATTTGGACCATATTAAATTTATATCATTAAACAGAAATATCAGTGCTAAGAATAAAGTGCGCAGTTTATTAGTAAGTTTGAGTTACAATAGTTTTTCGATTTTTTAGGATTCATAATATTTTTTGTTATGTTATAATTATATTTATAAAAATATTTGTAAATATTGTTATGGATTAATTTTATGGTACGTAATAATAATCCTTTGTATAATTTAATTTGTGTTTTATATTTTTTATTATAATCTTTTTGTTTCAATTTTTATTGTTATTTTATAGGATTTAAATAATTATTAGTTTAAAGTTTTCTTATTAACAAATATTTGTTATGTAACTTTTATTTTATTGTTTGTGAATATACATGCAATATTTTATGTTATAATATCATAATATCTTATTAATGTTTATAGATTTGATTTGCATTCACATATTGTCTAATTTATCATTTTTTGAATATTTTGAAAATATCTAAATATCTGTTTGTTACATTTAACAGATTTTCATAACGACTGTATAATAACAGTCAGTTTTATTTAGTGATCATGGAACAAATGATTGCTTTGAGTACACAAAATCCATTAACTTTATTAGTAAAGTTTGGAATGATGGCTTGGAATGATACCTGTGGCAATGAAAATTGCTCCGGACATGGAGAATGTCATAATGGTACTTGTTTATGTGAGGTAATATTATAATTGTAATCAATTAAAATATTTGAACATAATAAATTATTTGAATAAATTATTTTTTATACTTCAAAATATTTATATATTTTTTTCTCATAGATTCAATTTGATGGATTAGAATGTCATGTTCCAAATTTAAGTTATTATATTGCATTTGCCACAATATTTTTTATGTTGGCATTTGTCTGTTTAATACAACTTATTATGTGTATTATCGCAGAATGGCAAAAAATGAAAGCACCATCTTTTCTTAGAGCTTGTAGAGTTACAACACAAAAAGTTTTATATTTTATTGTGTTTCTTGCATCATTGATAAGAGGAGCATATTTTACATCACCAGTAAATATTACGTAAAAATATTATTATAATAAAATTCTTTAATCTCTTTTAAATATTTACAAATTTATTTTTTTATAGACTGCATTTAAAGAAGGATGGTCTAGAAGTTTATTATCTGCATATTATCCACTTGTTTTGAGTGGATCCTCTTTAATTGTTTGTTTTTGGGCTGAAGTATTTCACTTGAGAAATATGTCATGGGACAAACCACAATTTCTTTCAAAATCATTCATAGGTTTTGCTGTATTCAATGTATTAACATATTCTCTACTTCTAGCAGAGTTTATTATCACTCAATTATATTCTGAAGAAGATCAGGTAAATTAAATAATAATATATTTATTATAATAATTTCAATTATTTGAGTATGACATTATCAATAATTCATTATATTAATTAATTTTTTTTAGAGCTCTTACACTCATATTTTTAATGGCTGTTATGCAGTACTCTTATTTATTGTTGTGATTTTCTTCTTAATTTATGGAGTGGAAGTATACTTCAAAGTAAATTAATTATTATAAATAATATAAAAACTTTTTGTAAATATATATTGCATTAAAATAAATTTTTTTAGATTCGAGGTGGCTTCTTGAATGATTATCAAAATAGTACAATTTTGAATAAACGTATGGTTTCTGATTTAAAAGTTAATGCTGAAGAACAAGTTACTGCAAAATTGTTTGATGCTATTCCAAGTACATCGCAATTATCTCAAGTGCAAGAACAAATAAATATTTCTCAGTTACATCAATCTCGTGTAGGATTATTATCACAAGCTATCATGCTATTTTTTATTGTTGGATTTTTATGTAGTGAAACACTTAGTGAATTTTGGAAAGCAAAGTGAGTTTGAAAATAATATCTTAATTGAATATAATTATATTTTTCTTATCCTTAATAATTACATATATTTTATGTTACAGAGTTCCTATATATAGTAGGAATTGGCATGATGTTGTTTTCCGTATTATTGAAGTAGGCGTAATATTATGGTTTCCATGTGTGTTATGGAATTGTTTTAGGTTTATATTTTATATTATATATTAAATAACTAATTTAAAATATAATTAATACGAATATAATATAATAATGAAACTATAAACTTAATATGAAAATCTATAGTATTTTAACATATTATTTATAATTTTTATTATCTTAATCTTAATTGATATTTAACTATTATAATATTTTTTTTTATTTTATTTTAGTCCAGAACAATTATGGATTCTAAATCCGAAACGTCTTTTAAAGCGATTAGATCACTCTAAGTATATAAAAGAAATAGAATTACAAGATAAAGGTGGAGAACAAGAGACTGCACTTTTCTCAGATGGAACGTCAATTAGTAGTAAAGATTGTTGGATTTGTTATGATAGTGAAAGACAAGATGCTGGACCATTAATACAACCTTGTCAATGTAGAGGTGATGTGAGTGCAGTTCACCATAATTGTTTGCGTCGATGGTTGGTCGAGGTAAAATATTATTTTTATTTTATATTCATATTTTATATATTTTTTATATTATTACACATATATATTTATTTCAGAGTTCTATAAATGCTGATAGTCTTAGTTGTAAAGTATGTGGTACAAAATATAATGTTGAACATGCAAGTAAATTGGATTGGCAAAATGGTATAACTTCGCGTCATTGCTTGCAAACTATTGCTATTGTCACGACAATGTGTGGATCATCAGCTGCTGCTTGGACTCTTATTCAATTAGTAGAAGGCCCAATTATTAGAATGCTTGCAGCTGGTACTGCATTATTGGTTATGTATGTTTGTATAAGGTAAGTTATTGATAATTTCTGCTTTTATATTTATTATTAATTTACATATGTCATTGTTGCATATCATATTTATTAAAAAAAAATTTTTTTTAGGTTTTTAAGTTTAAACACAGTTGTAGCATATCAGCGTGCCAAAATTTCATCTTTAAATATTATTAGTTCTGATAATAATGGAAATGCACATGTATCAACTATTAGTCATACAGTTTGTGTAGACTTGGCAAAATCTGAAACAGCTACGATATAATTGATATTTGACTTATTGACTTGTATTAATGATATAACATTTATTTCATCTTTATTTATAAAAAAAATTAAGAAAGTTAGAACAAAAATGTTTATTGGAATGTTAAAAGTGTAAAATTGTATATGTATGATTTTTTTTACAATTTTCCATATAATTTTTGAAGTTAATGTTACTATTTAACAAATTATGGAAAATCATGTAATAATTTTCTTTATTTTTATAATCAGATCAAATTTTCTTACGTTTTCGACTATCTATCAAGTTATCTCAAAATTAAAATATTTTGTTTATACTTTTTAATGACAAATATATTTTCATTATTCAAAATAATATCGTTAAGATCAAATGAAAATAATATATTTAAAAACATCAGTTTTTACATATATTAAACAAAAAAAGTTTAAATTATAAATATAAAACTTTAAAATTAGAATATATGAATTGAAATATAAAATTTAAAAAATAAAATAAATATATAGTTTTATATGATTTTCAAAACTGTTTACATAAATACAAAAATAAAATGTTTCTTTTATATTATAGTACTAAATATATATATATATGTTCCATGTTATGGAATGTTATAAGAAAAAAAATATATGCAATAATATTCAATAATTTCAATTCATAATATTTAACGTTTATAAAAATTAGTTTCTATATAATCGTACTACAATTTCAAAATTCGTATTATATGGTTTTATAAAGCTAAAAATATTGTCAATAATGGTACATATTTTATAAATAACTCACTGATATGTAAGATTTTTAAATAGATATAGAATAAGAATTGTTTCTGCGATATATAAATTTTATATTTGAAAATACTCGTATTTCATATGCCTCTTAGTTTTATAGAATGTGTATATAGTATCATAAAATTAAGAAATGATATATATTTCCTCTTCATGGAAAAGAATATGTACTATTATAATACTAACAAATATTCTTTCTTGTAGAAGTACAAAAACATTCTAGTTTTAATAACTTATTAATATAAAATTATTATGTATATGGTAGTTACACTAACAACTATTAAATGATATATTTGTAAGTGTTATGTTATAATGATTAGCCATCCCTTAAATAACACTAATAGAAATATCTATTTAATATAAAATGAAAAAAATATTTTCATTGTCATATCTATTTTTTTTTATTATAAATTGGCTAATATAACAAATTTATATCGAAATTATATAAATGTTTTTTAAAATATTTTATTATTTAAGTAATCATATGTAATAACAAATATTATATCTATGCTCGAATTAAATTTAAACAATTTATTTTTCAAAACTCTAAAATTCCAAATTTTTTAATGATGATATTATTAAATTATTATTTTCCTATGGATGAACTTAAATATTCCTAATTAATACTAATTTGGTAACTAATTTAACTAATTTAAAATAGAAAATGAAAAATATAAAAAAATATAATAATAAAATGCTATGATATAAATTGTATGATATTCAAGTTGATTACTAAATAAAAAGACCAAAATAAAATTATATTATTCATTGTTAATTTTATTGTTGTTTACAAAGACAATACTTAACAATGTTATGTACCAAACTAAAATACTGATTATTAAAAGATAAAGTAAATTTTTGATCAATGAATATGGAAGAGCAGATTATAATGAAATTTTCTGATTTTAGGAATGATTCTGAGTACTTTTTATTATTATTACTATATCATTCTCTAAATAATTATTTAGGTACGTATAAGAAATACATTTTACCAATTGAATTGAATATTTAATAATATGTAATATAATTATAGATATACAGATACAACAGAACTTAAAATATCGTTTAATATGTGAACTACGAATTTTACATTTATATTTTTTTTCAACATTAGATCTGCTCTGACTGTGCAATAATATTACCTGTTGCCATGTGTAAGTGTAAATGTTTGCGTCAGATTATTTTTTGAGATTGAGGTTCTGTATAATGGTGGATAAATCTTAAATGCAGTTTCTTTTGTTCAACCTACGCTGAAACATAGTATATATTCTATAAAAAATGTAATTTAAAAATAATGGATAAAAATTAAAGATTTCATTCAAGAATAATATTTTATCAAATAAAATAATAAGAATTTTACCTGCGATGCCTGCAATTGCTTCTGAAGCAAAATATTTTACGTCCACATCGCTGTCGGTATTAAGTTTATCCAAGACAGGTTTTACTTGAGCTTGTACTGCACAAGGCTCGAGATAAGGTCCAATTTTTTGAAGGGTTTTAGCAACATTAAATCGTACATTAGCAACATTATCCGTGGCCATTCCTAAGACTGTTGGAAGCATTACCCTTGTTGTTATTTCTGGACCACATACTTCTGCTAATACCTAAGATAAAAAAATAATAGAAAAAGTTTAACTATTATATAAATAATACAATAATTTACTTACATTGATACAAAATAGACATGTCATTCTGTGAAGATAATTTTGATCCCTTGACATTGCTAAGACTTTAGGTATTACAGTATTTTGTGCCCATTCAGGACCAAATTTTTCTACCAATTTTTTTAAATTTAATGTTGCTGCTTCTCTGATAGCATAAACATGATCTACTAACCAAGTCATACATAAAGAATTTAATTTTTCATCAAAGAATTCAACTCCAAGTTGTCCAGCTAGTAATGGCATATATCTAAAATATATAAATAAATACAAATGATTATTTATATAATAAATAAAATTTAATTTAATTTTATCAATTTTATGATTATATATTAATATTTTAATATATATTATATTATATAATATATATTATTTTAATATATATTACTATTATATGCAATATATCATGGAAAATACTTACTCTATGATGGCATATCTTACACGCCATTTTGAATCTTCGGCTAATTCTACAATAGCTGGTAATAGAGATTGTGAAAGTTGTTGTATACCAATAACTTCATTAACGCATTCTAAATTACTGATAATATTTAGACGAACTTCTGAACATTCATCTCTGAGTTGTGATAAAAATAATGGTAATAAATGTTCAATTGTACTATAAATTTAAAAAATTTATTATTATTATTATTTAATTTAAAATATATTTAAACTAAATAGATATATATTTTTACTCACTTATGTTTTCCCAATATTGGACTAAGACCCATTATAACACTTGCTAAAGCTGATTTTACATGCTGATTTGGATCTGATACAAGTTCTTTAACTATTGGTAATATTTGTGTCATAATAATAGACTCTTGATTAAATTTGTCAAGATTTTGACAAAAGTCACGAACTTTATCAGCTGCTGCTGCTCGTACTTCAGCTTCTATATCTTTTAATAGTACTTGAAATGCTGGTACAAGATCTGTTTTCGTAATTTCTGGACCTACAGCTTTCTGAAGCTATAAATAGTAACAAAAATTAATTAAAAATCAATATTATTTAAATATTTATTAAAGGAGAAAAATATATAAAAAAAATTTACATCTGTGAATTTATCTGCCACCATATAACGTACACGCCATGATTGATCACTTGCACATTGTCTAAGAGTGGGCATAACTAATTGTTCTACATCTTCTTGTGGTAACAATGCTGCAATACTGACACAAGCTTCAATTGCCAAGAGACGTACTGAATCCTATAAAATATGATATGAATATAGATATGAATATTTTAAAATTAATAAGATAATTTTTTACATCTTATCTTACTTGTTCATCTTGAGCTAAGATGACAAACATTGGAATTAAATCTGCTTTTACATATTCAATTTCCATAACCTTTGCAAATTCACCTAAATGTGAGGCAGCAGATCTACGTGCCATTGGAGTATCATCTTGACATAAGTTACGAAAATGATTCCGTAAACATGCTAAAAAAATAAAAAAAAAGTTTATATATATGAAATTATATACAAATGAAATTTTAATTTTTATATTATTTAAAATTTAAATAATTTTTTTTATTTTACCTTTAACTGTTGGACTAACACGTGGATAACAAACACTAAATAAACCACATGCTGATGTTCTTGATGTAAACCAATCTCCTGTTGCTAAACGATGTATCAAAGGAACAAATTGTTCTTCCAAATCTGTTGAGCTATGTTGAGCAGCAATAGTTCTTAAAGACTCCACTGCTTTATCTCGAACTACAGTTTCTTCAACTGTTGCCAAACTCTCTAGAGGTTTCTACATTAAAAAAAATTTTATTTAAAAAATTTATCATTAATTATTTTTTTTAAATTTTTATTAAGTGTTATTTTAAGTATCTTAGTAAATAATATATATCTCTTTTATCAATTCATATCTCTTTAATCAATTTTCTTTGTTTAAAACATATAATGATAACAATTGTTATATAGCAATAATATTTAAAATTATTTTTTATTTGAAATAATATATGTTCATATTTAATTATATCAAATATGATTTGCTTTAATATAACATCTTATACGAATCATAATTTTTCAAATTATTTTATTATAATGAAAAAAAATAATTTATATATTGAATTAAATATTAAATAATATATATCTTAATAAAAATTTGTTAAATATTATTGCTATTACAATTATTGAGTAAAATAACAAATAATAATATATACCAGTAAACAATGTACGTATTCTGGACCTCCTACAAGAGGAGTAAACTGCCCAAGTTGTTCTGCCAATGCTAATAGAACCTCATCTTCATCATACATAGATTCAGTTAAAAATGGTATCAATTCACTACGTGTTCGTTCAATACCCAATGCAAGAGCAATCGTAGATAATTTCTTTATTGAGTTCAGCCGTAACTATAACAAAACAAATTCTGTAAACGTGTAGGTCAATTCTTCATAATCCAATCATTATCTTTTCAGACGCTTGTTTTCTCTAAATAATGAAATACATTTTCTCAAATTAAAATTTTAAGTTTAAATCTTTTGATGAAAAAATTGTTATATAAATAATTTACATTGTTCAGTATATTGATATTAAAGATAGAATATTTAATATAAAGTGACAGAAGAGTAAAAGAATATTCTATCGAATTGTACGCTATCGCTGTAGCCACCTTAACACTCTGTATTTTCCAATGATTGCAAGCGGTACGACAATTCGATTGTTTTGCAATTGTAAGATATCGATCTTGAATACTTTTAGAATTACCTGTACATCCTCGTTTTTTAGTTCATCGATCAAAACAGCGATCGGATAAAGGCTGTCGTCCGTGGTAGAGTCGCTCGCTGCCATTTTGCTGCCGATCACACCAGAGCTTGGAAACTCCCGTGTATTCAAGTAGTGTTCAAATTACT